GGTGGTGACAAAACAGAGATTTGACCCAAGATTCTTTGAAGCCAAAGCCCCTATTCTTCCCACTCTGCTAAGCTGTTTTCCACAATTTTCTACGGAAGCAAGGTAACTAATGTGGAAGTAGAGAAGGGTAAGAAAGGAACTGGTGGTCACTGTTTCTATATTGGTGTCACAAAGTATTTTTTTGTTCCCAGCTCTCTTTACATAGAAGGTGGTTGCCCTGAGTGCCATTGTTAAGGACAGCTTTCTCCAAATTCATAAAATGGCAGGAATCTGTGCTTTTTTTTTTGGTACCCCTCCCCAATGTTTTTTTAATTGAAGTATAGTTGATTTACAATGTTGTGTTAGTTTCAGGTGTACCTCAAAGTGATTCAGATATATATACATATATCTTTTTTTTTTCTTTTGCAGATTCTTTTCCATTATACTTTATTACAAGGTATTGAGTCTAGTTCCCTGTGCTATATAGTAGTTCCTTGTTTATTTTAGTAGTAGTACTGTATAGTAGTTTGTGTCTGCTAATCCCAAACTCCTAATTTATCCCTCCCCATCTCTTTCCCCTTTGGTAACCATAAGTTTGTTTTCTATGTCTGTGAGTCTGTTTCTGTTTTGTAAATAAGTTCATTTGTATCATTTTTTTAGATTCCACATGTAAGTGATATCATATTTTATTTGTCTTAATCTATGAGTTATTTCACTTAGTATGATAATCTCTAGGTCCATCCATGTTGCTGCAAATAGCATTATTTCATTCTTTTTTATGGCTGAGTAATATCCCACTGTATATATATACCACGTCTTCTTTTTTTTTTTTATTTTATTTATTTATTTATTTTTGGCTGTGTTGGGTCTTCATTGCTGCATGCGGGCTTTCTCCAGTTGCTGCGAGCCGGGGCTACTTTTCGTGGTGGTGTGCGGGCTTCTCAATGCGGTGGCTTCTCTTGTTGCGGAGCACAGGTTCTAGGTGCGCGGGCTTCAGTAGTTGTGGCTCGTGGGCTCTAGAGCGCAGGCTCAGTAGTCGTGGTGCACGGGCTCAGTTGCTCCGTGGCATGTGGGATCTTCCTGGACCAGGGCTCGAACCTGTGTCCCCTGCATTGACAGGCGGATTCTTAACCACTGGGCCACCAGGGAAGTCCCATATACCACGTCTTCTTTATCCGTTCACCTATCAACGGGCATTTAGGTTGCTTTCATGTCTTGGCTGTTGTATACCCCTCCCCAATTTTGTCGTTTCTGCCACTGTAGTTCATTATGATCAATCTCTGCCCCCCACCCTCCATTTAACATTCACATCTTCCTATGATTTATAATATTATGGCCTGCTGTCTGTCAGTGGGCTTTAACAGTGAGGATAGATAAGAGCATTGGTCAAGATTCACCAGCAAACCCTGTGTTCGGTTTTTATTTTCTAAGAAAAAATAAATTCAGTACCTTGGGTATAAAATTAGAAGAATTTCACCCTCATTGCTGACACTTCGGGGATTTCTGTTTCCGTTCCACATTCCCCACCTCAGCGTCCGTACACTTTTTCCTTTCTGAGCTTCAAACACTACCTTCTGCTGGGACCTGTGGCTAGCAGACACCGTATTGAACAGCACAGACCAGACCATCTGGCTGTGAGCACCCTAACTTGCTTGCTCTGTCCTTCTTTTCTCAAATTTCTCTACTCTGAAAAGAAAAAGAACTGTTGCTTGATGCTCTTCCCTCTAAGCTATGATCCTATCGCCTGACATCACTCTGCATCACAGGGAACTCCAGCATCCTGCCAGTCTCCATCATACCCCTGGTCCCCTGCTGAAGTCACACCCCCAAAATGCTAGTGACCTCCTGGTCGCCCCACCTCAAGTTCTGTTCTCAGTGCCCACCGCTCATAGCCCTTTGCTGCCTGGAACTCTTTCATCTGGGGTATGTGCTGGGAGGGGTTCCTGGGTTTCTGCTTATGTCTGCCCCTATTCTTCCTTTTAGCCAGGCTTAAGGATAAGTGCTCCCTAAGGGTCTCTCTCTGCTCTGCCTGCTCTGCAATATCAGATCCATATATTCAGCTTTTTTTTTTTTTTTGCGGTACGCGGGCCTCTCATTGTTGCGGCCTCTCCCGTTGCGGAGCACAGGCTCTGGGCACGCAGGCTCAGCGGCCACGGCTCATGGGCCCAGCCGCTCCGCGGCACGTGGGATCTTCCTGGATCGGGGCACGAACCCATGTCCCCTGCATAGGCAGGTGGACTCTCAACCACTGCGCCACCAGTGAAGCCCCTCTTTTGACTCTTTAACATCTTCCTGGATAACTGATTTCTTTTACCTTCCTAACCCCTCAAATGGAATACGGCCCGAACAGAACTCATCATCTTTTTCTTTGCCATCCCTATTTCTCTTAATAATACCAGCCTCCCCTCAAGACTTGACCTTGGACTTCTTCCCCCTTACAGCCTCATCGTCACATGTGGCCAGATCCCACTTGACCCCTGTAGGACCTGTCAGCACTTTTCAGCTCTTCATTCTCATCACCACTATTGACTTCAGCTACTCATTATCTCTCGTCTACTATTATAATAGCTTCCCAGCAGGTCTTTCCAGTCTATCCTGAATATAGCTACCTAATGAATCATTCTCATATTCTTAACCTTTCTGATGTTTTCCCATTGCTCACTAGAAAACCCCACATCCTTGGCACTCGAGGCTGTCCACGGTCTGTGGTCTGTGGTCTGTGGCCCGTGCCTGGGTCTGATCACCTCTCCCCTTCCTGTGGGCCCTGCTCTCCCTGGCTGGGCCTGTGGGAGGGTGCTTGCCAGTTCTGTGAGAATTCTGTTTCTTTAAAAGGCATCTGTATCAAAGACCTAAACTTACAAGCTAAAACTGTAAAACTCTTAGAGATGGCATCTATAAGTTACTCTTGTATTAGAAAAAATCTTCTAGCCAGTGTCACAGCTAGAGTATAAAAATAATTCCTTACTTGCTCACCCCTTTTCCTTTGCTCATGCTGATTTCTGAACTTGAAAATAACCTGTCCCTGATTTTACATGTCTGAATCCTCTCCCTAATCCAGATTCTTCACTGAGCCGTCCTTTATTCCTCCAGCTCCAGTAAGGCATGCATCACTGTATTTCTATTATAACTATTTACTCGCATAACTATTTAAGTACCTCCAGTCTGGGAGTTTCTTATGAGTGGTGACAAGGTCTTTGTTACAAGGGAAAAAAATAAATATCATAATGCTTGACACATGGTAAATATTCAATGAGAATTTGAATGAATAAATGAATAGAAGAGAAAATATATTCACTAGTTCATTCTTGCCTAACTTTAAATTGCTTAAGAGTAGTATTTGGGTCTGATTCATCTTAATATCCTACCATGACTAGCTTTGTGCATAACAGACACTCAGTAGATATTTCTTTTTTATTTTTATTTCCTTTTTCAGCTTTATTGATGTATAATTGGCATATTAAATTGTAAGACATTTAAAGTTGACATCGCAGTAATCTGAAATATGTCTACATTGTGAAAGCGTTTCCAACATCTCACATATTTATCTTTTTTTTCTTTTTTTTTGGTGAGAACATTTAAGTTCTATGGTTAGCAAATTTCAATTATTCCATAACTATTTCTTGAATTAGTGGATAGATGAGTAGTTGACTATATTAATAATATGAGCTTTCTGAATGCTATGTTACTATATTTTTACTTTCAGTAACTTAAGTGCTCTTACTACAGCTAAAATATTTTAAAATGTTTCTCTTCTGATTGTCAACATTTTTATCAGTGATTATTTTTGACTTTAAACTTTTTCTGCATGTTTAATTTTGATTTTAACAAATCGTAATCATTGGGGAGGGGTGCATTCTTAATTTCACAAAGGAAATTGGAAAGAAAAAGAAAGTTCACTTTTTAAGAAGAATGTGAAGGAGGTTTTCTGTGTTATTAGCTCCTGCTTCTGGGTGTAGGTGGGGGTCTAGGACTGACAATTATTTCTGCAATAGTGGTTGAATAGTTCTTTCCAGAGTCATCATGGCTCCATTCAGAGACACATAATTTGGATGCTTTCAATAGGAAGCAGAGTTGGGCAGCCTTTATTAGAACACTTGGCGGGGAGGTGGGGGACGGGGCGGGGGGAGGTCCTCAAACTCCAGTTAAGTTGAACTAAGTTATTCTGCCTCCTGTCAATACCAGAAGGCTAACATTCCTCCTTCTTCTCCTCCTACTTTTTTTCTTTTTTGGTGAGGCTGCCTTACCAGTCTTCTCTGACAATAATGGTTGATTATGATCAGTGAATTAACAGTATTTGCTTTTGGTCATGTTAATTGATGCAAGCCCAAATAATAATGAAATTAAAAGAACTGACCGAAATGTAGTAGTGATCCTGTGTATTTTTGTGACCCCTACTGCATAAAGGTTCACTGTTGTTGTTATTTAGGGGTTATTTTGTCTCTTTTTAAAACCAACTGACAAGAATTACCTTGGTTCAGGTGATTTGGTGGAAAAGATAACAGATGCCTGCATGTGCTTCTTTGTTGGCATCATTTTAATTACCTGTGAGAGAGGAACAGTCCTAACCTATATCAAGTGAGCGAGCTAGTTACATGAAATACCTGGATTTGTAAAGTTGCCCGTATCTGGCAATGAATAGTTACAGGAAGATAATAAGTAGAGTCAGAAAAAGAAGGTCAGAGGACCTAAGGAAAGAAATTTACTTTTAGGAAATGCTACAAACTTATTGGAAACGAGAGAATTTCTGCAGTGTATTTAGAAGAACAGTCCAGAAGAACAATAAAGCAGAAAGAGCAGACTCCCTCTGTATACCCCATAGAGATGTTTATTTCTTCAGAAATAAGCAAAGTATTCGCGGAGACAACTCATTACTGTCCACTGGACATTATGGGAATCCTACAGTCTCACAAGTGGGAAACTTTACCCTTTTGACCTGGTGTCAAGACTTTTGAGCAGTCGTATAAATCCATCTCAACTTGTTTGAAGTAATTAAGTTGGTTTGCATTTTTTGTCTCCTTCAGAAATGAACACGCCCGAGTATGCTAGATGCCTGTGAACTCCCCGATCCCCCGGCAGCTTTGGAAAGACTGCAAGAAAGAAGGTGGCGGAGTGGTGGACTCTGAGAACAAGCTCCTCCCCCTCGGCCTTGGCCTTCCTGCCCACAGTCCACCATGGAGACGCTCTCCCAAGAGTCTTTGCTGGAATGTCAGATCTGCTTCAATTACTACAGCCCCCGGCGAAGGCCCAAGTTGCTGGATTGCAAACACACGTGCTGCTCGGTGTGCCTTCAGCAGATGAGGACGAGCCAGAAGGACGTGAGGTGTCCCTGGTGCCGGGGCATCACCAAGCTGCCCCCGGGCTTCTCCGTGTCCCAGCTCCCGGACGACCCCGAGGTCCTTGCCGTCATCGCCATCCCGCACGCCTCCGAGCACACCCCAGTCTTCATCAAACTTCCGAGCAATGGGTGCTACATGCTGCCCCTGCCCATCTCCAAGGAGCGAGCGCTGCTGCCCGGAGACATGGGCTGCCGTCTGCTGCCCGGGAGCCAACAGAAGTCCGTCACCGTGGTGACCATCCCGGGAGAGCAGCAGCCTCTGCAGGGCGGGGCTCCGCCCGAGGCGGTGGAGGAGGAGCCAGACAGGCGGGGCGTGGTGAAAAGCTCCACCTGGTCTGGGGTGTGCACTGTGATCTTGGTGGCCTGCGTCCTGGTCTTCCTTCTCGGCATCGTGCTCCACAACATGTCTTGCATTTCTAAGCGCTTCACTGTGATATCCTGTGGCTGAAGAGGGCCACGGGGAAGTCTCTTGTGGGTGCCAACTAGCGGTTGAGCAGGTGTTGGTGATGGATCGCGGTGAGGAGATGGAGGGGGCCACGCTGATCATTGGGTGCCGAGTGCTGGCCTCTGGGCTGCCACTTGATTAACCCAAGACAGACACGAAGGGCAGAATGTGAGGTGTCAGCAAGATACCAGGCAGAGCGCTCTGATTATTGGTGGCAACAGCTTCCAAGACGATCGCATGCATCCTCATAATCATGTATTAAATGACTGTAATTTATGATTTCTCAAAATCATGTTGCCAGATAGACCTATTCTACTTAGATGTTAAACTGTGGAAGTGCATACAATGTGATCTTTTCTAAATGTGGTAGATTAAAACAAAGATGCTATGTATACAAGTAGAATTAAATCTGAGAATCCATGTAAAAATTCAGTGATGACATGCAGTGCTGGTTTCTTTCCTTTTTTAAAAAATGAAACCCAGTCTTCATTTAGTTGCTAAGGCCTTTTATACTTTTTGAATGGCACCCAAATTAAAATAAGTTAAGTGGACAGTTGTTTTTTCAGGAAGATATTTGAACAAGTGTTTCCAGTGTGTTGTGTTTTGTCACGTACCTCCATTTTTCTTCCCTTGTAATTAGAGCTCGCTATGTGTTTATTAAACTGAAAGCCCAACAGGGGAGCAATAAACTGAGTAATAATGAGAAATGCCTAATCCCACAGGAAACCTACATGCCAATTTTTCTCAAGCCATCTCACAAAATAAGAATTTTAAATGTAAATATTGTGTATTTGTGTGGGGGGGGTTGTGTGTGTGGGGGTGTAATTTGATTTACCTCAGGTTTTGAATCTTTTCAGAAGAATCCCGGGAGTAAGACTTTGTGGGCATGAATGAGTCCGGGGTCTGAAATGATGGCCACCTCAAGGGCACCGGTACCCACCCAGCGAGGTGTCACAGACACGTCACTTCCAAACTTGCTCCTCTTCTATCCTGTATTCTGTAAGGCACTAAGGGAGAGTAACAGAAGATTCTGTCTTTGCTCCCAGTTTTGATGTATTGTAACAGCCATGAGTGTTGGTAAACAATAACAAACTTGGACTGGCATTTTAAGACAGTCCATGATTATTTTTTGAAGGAGATTGTTCCATGAGAGTTAAATCATTTTGAATTCCAGTTTCCTCTTGTTGGTATAAGTGAGACTATCTCTTGTATTTCAAAATGTGTTTTCATTGAGAAAAATGGCAAGGTGAACTAGCAACTCACATTCCTAGTTTAAGTGGACCAATTCTTCATAAATTCTCAGACGTTCTTAAATGTGTAATGGCCTACAGATGCTCATGAAGAAAGATCTGCTGGTCTTAAGTGATAAATTTCTATCCCTGAATGTGTGTGCGTTCAGACATAGCTGTGAGCTTTACAGTTCTCTTCTAGTTTCTCTTACGGAATTCATGAAGCAAGTGGTATGTGCCAAGGTCCCCACTCATAAATAAGTCTGTTTATGTTCCATTGAATCCCTGAAAATAGGGGACAGAAAAATAAGCAGTGACTGGCCCCAAAAAGTAAGGCTAGAAAAAGCCCTTAAGACTGAGATAATTTAATTTACTTATATGCTAACTGTTACCTTCAAGCAGCACAAAATATGCACATTAAAGTGATGGAATTAATGAGATAAAATGACAATATAATGAACAGAATCCCAAGCTAACCCTGTTCATTGACATGAGGATTTGATATAAAAATATGAACATGGGTTTTTCAAATCTTTCCAATTTGTCCTTAGACCTTTAGGAAATGTATTTGAAAGCTCAAACTAGAAATTAGGTTAAAATGCCATTTTATTGTGTAAGCTATTGGGCATTATACAACAAATAATCTAGGATTTATTTAGTATTAATAATTTAGGTATCACATTAGCTGAATGCTATCCTCTATTATGTAACCTAATATACTGTTGGGTTAGTTTCAATTTCTCAAACTCCCAGGCTGCCTTGATGCATGTCTGACCTAATTTCTATTCCTCTTGGGAAAAAAACCCCACAGAAATGTTACATTAAGAATTCTACATTTCAAATGGACTTTACCCTTGCAATATTAAGTCATGCCATTTTCAAATTAATTTTGTGAATGATGTCTACATATGTTTATGTCCGGTATGAAATGACCAGCCCTGGAGTGTAGTGTGTGATAGAATTCTACATGGTCTGTAGGTTATATATAGACACTAACATATGTGATGATACAGTGCCCTGTGTTTCTTAGTGCAAAGCTGTAGATTACAAATGTCCATGTACCTTTTACTTAAAAACAACCCTGTGCTAGAGCTGCAATTAAGCAGTGCAAAATTAATCGGCTCTATGATAGATTCTTGACGTTACAATTTAAGGTACAATAACAACCAAAATCAGAATTTTTCGTGTGAGTCTTACTGATACTGATGTAAGAACAATTGTTTATGTGGATTCTGCCTGCAGTTATTTATTTGTGTACCTGCTTATCAGGGTGTGCAATCCTGTGCGTGCACGCGTGTGTGCGTGCACATGTCGATGTGATGTCTCAGCCTGCCAGATAGGATTTTTATAGGCTTAATGATGTTTAATGTTATTTGGCATCCCATTGCTCTGGCCTCTTTGGCATTTACCCACGACACTAACAACTCATCTACCCCATGTGACTCAAGTCCAGTGACACAATCAGCCAGAATTCACAGTTGCACATCAATGAAAAAACTCACAACTGAAAGCACAGAAAGCTGAAAGCAACCTCTGGTGGCTTCATTTTGTAGATGAGTCTGCTGGGGTCCCCAGAGGTGCGAGCCCGTTTGTCATTCTGCAGCAAAAGGGGACCAGAACTTTGTACTGCCGTTTCCTCTTGCTGCTTCCTAGACCTGTCGACCTCTCTGTTGGCCTATGATCTTTTTCAGGGAGGATCAATACCCTTTACTAACTCAACTATTAAGTTTTTTGTTTTTGTAGATTTATATATTCACTTTAGTTAGTATCTACCTCTCCGGGAAATGAAAGGAGTGTTGATTTAGGGATGAGTACAGACAGTTAAAGAGAACCATGTGATTTGAATTTTTTTAATTGCAAAACATTGGTTCCCCCCCCCCCACTTGAGCTATAAAGGACAGTGAGTGTTGTGTAAATAGTAAACTATAAGAAGCATGAATTTTCATCTTTATTAATGATCTTGACATAAGCAAGAGAATGCTGAATATGCTAAGTAGAGCCAAGTATGCTATCAAAAAGCATTGTCTTTGGAACATTTTTGTATAATGACCTGGGGCATAAGTTGTGAAAAGGCAAATGGGTTCTCATTTCCAGTCATACTTTATGATCAGAAAGCTATAAGGCATTTCCTTTAGGAATATAATTAAGTTTAATCTTGCACATGACTTGAGTGGGTCCCTTGAAGGTTAAAACCGTGTGCTGGTGCAACCTTGGGATCTTCTAGATTGACGCTGTTCTATAGAACTTTCTGTGATGATGGAAATGTTATATAACTTATGCTGTCCAATACAGTAGCCACATTGGGTGTTGGGCAACTGAAATGGGATTAGTCTGAGTGAGGAACTGGATTTTGTATTTTATTTAATTTAAAGTTATTTAAATAGATGCCGCTCACATGTGGCTGGTGGCTATTATATTGGACAGTGCACTTCTGGAGGGTTGTGCAATGGAATCTAGCATCAAAATATTAATGGAGTAAGCAGAGTAAGGCGAAGAAGACAGTTTTTGGTTTAGTAACATGCAGTTGGCTTAAAAAATATATGATCTCAAGTATGACAGTAAAAATGCATCAATTGCTCTTCAGGGTTATTACTTAGATACTCTGGGCCAAGGAATAATCAGTGAAGCTTAAAGAGTGCTCGATAAAGCCCCCTTTTCTGGGATCATTAGCTGCATGTGAATCTGTTGTCCAAAAATAGTAGTTAGACAGTAGCTCTAAAACGTTTGACTTGCATGACCTGTACTGTGAAATTGTGTTTAGGGTCTTGTGACCAAAAAGTAAATGTTACAGAAAAAAAAAGAAAAGCCTAATGAAATCCCTCTTTCAGGGTCTTACCCAAACGCCATCATTACATTAGTAAGGTATGAAATAAAAGATCAAGCATGTTTTGCAGTGTTCACGGGGAGTGTTTTTGCTTGCCCTTGAAGTCTGCCAGCTCGTCATCGTATTTGAGATGGGCATAGGTGGGCATCATTTTTCAGATGCCAGACAAAAACATAGGTACTATTTTTAGAGTGAGATTTGACATTGTTTTCGTCCTGTTTGGTTTTTTTAGTTATCACTGAAAGAATCGAAGATTTGAAGCCTTGCACAAAGACACTTTGTTTTACGTTAAAAAAAAATTGCCCGTGGAATTTAAAGCCTTGAAGGTTATTAAAGTTACTAAAATTGCTTTTTAAGTGAATAAAGGGAAGTAGAAAATTCAATTTGAGATATATTTTCATAGAAAGATCAGACTCTTCCTGATAGTACAGTATTTATTCCAGTCTAGATTTGGTTTTATAGAGTTCTCATAGTTTTATTTGAAAAGCTATGCTGTGTCTAAATTGGTTAGTCTGCTTTTCATTGTCCAAAAATACTGTAAACCAAATGCATTTGCTTCAATTTAGCAAAATTGGGTTGATTTTTTTTTTTTTTTTTTATAGAGAACTCATCAATGGGCAGGGCTCTTTAGTTCATCCTTGAAAATGATTAAAATTTTTTTTGCCCAATGATAGTTTTTCTTTAGACTTATGAGGAAATTAGAGGTCCAAAGGTTATTGGGATGAGAGGAGTGATATGCCAATGGTTTGAATTACTATCTTCTCTCAGAGAAATGATGCTGCCAACTAGTCAGCATTTTCACACAGGTGTCATAAGTCAGTCAATCTGTCATCCTTGACCTAGAAGGAGAAGCTGTTCCTTACCATTTCCACCATTCTCAGTAAAACATTGCCCACAAAGTAATCCTTACTGAAAGAGAAACTCCAAAGAATGAGTGAAGATAATTCAGCAACTGTTTTGAAAGTGGTTAGTCTATTTCAAAAGTGATGACAAGTTGCTGAAGTTTGTTAAACATCAAAGTCTTCTAAAAAAATAAGTGGAAATTCAAGCCATTGATTTTCCTGACACAATTGATTCACTGTATATAGATATAAATATATATGTAGACACACGATTTAGCTATAACTGAAGCTAAAAAGATCAAGTAAAATGTTTTCCAATGTGGGTTATATAATGGTGAATTTAGATGTTAATTTCTCAACAAGTGTTATAGGCTGCATCCATTTTGTCAAACCCAGCTATCTTTGGGAGTGTATATAACTAAGCTCTTGAGACTTTTCAAATATATGAAGAGGTGGGTTCTACCATATACATTTTGTTGGAAAGCCATTGATCATTAAAGAATATTAGTGGGTGGGGCATTTAATCTCTGTCTTCCAAATGACTTATTTTTTGGCTCTGCTCAAGTTGGCGAGGGCAGAGCACCACTATTGAACTCTTGCAATATGGCTCCGAGTTTTCTTCACAAGTTTCCTTGCACAGTCGGGCCAATTATTTTTTTTCAGGGTTCACTGCCTGGGGTACCCCACTATATACAATCTCACTTATGATGTAGTGGTGCTTGAAAACACTCATCTCATTAGCTGGACTTTATTATTCTAGTCTTCGGTTTTTGATAATATTCATATTAGGATCTTTTTAGAGACACTCAGTAATATTTGGGGCAAAGAACCGAGGGGTCTTTTGAAGTCTGCAACAGCATGGATTTTCTTTGTTTTAATGGGGGATGTTCTCTTATGGCTGCCCCATTCTTCTAGAACACTGCTCTAAATTCATCTACATGGGATGTAGGGCTAGTAGCCCGTGTGAAAGTCTTCTGTGGTCTCCCTGGGGTACGTTAATTGGATTATTCTAACAAGAGTTTTCCAAAGGGAAGCTAACTTTTAATTTGACATTTGCTTTTTGAGAATCCAGAGGTAGACGGTTGGATGTGATGGTTGTAAAGGAGCATGGGCTGTAAGAAGGAGGAAATAGATGAGGCAGATGCCCCTCAAAGGGGCATCTCAAGTTGAGATATTTAGGTCATCCCTATTTAAAAAGTGGGAGGACACAATTGTTGGTGTCTTACCCTGTGCTTCAGAAAATTCCTGGTTGGATTTTCCTGGCTGAGAGAAAACCCAGCTCTTAGGTAGATACTGTATGGTAGAGGTGGAGATGTGGCATTGGGTATATAGCAATAGATAGGAAGATATCCCCAGAGAGTGAGAAAACACTTGCATAAAAGGAGGGAAATCTGTAATGAGATGATAACTCCTGAACAAAGTAGACGGAAGATGAAGGTCAATCGTGGCAGAAACCAGCTGAAGAAAGAAACCCAGGACACCTGGGACTAACTTAGCCAAGCACGATTTGTCATTCCAGTATGGCCCACGAAATTCAATTCAGGATGTTTAAACTGAAGACAAACAGGGAATATGATCAGCTGATGAGAGGGTCCAAGGAGGCCCTACTGGGTGTCGGCACACAAGACAATTTCAGAACCTTCTCTGCAGTTGGTTGCTGAGTCATTGCAGACAAACTCTAATGACATCCTCCTAACCGTGGAATGCAACGCCCGTGCCTGTGGGTGTATCCTGATTTGAGTAGGTTAAGACTATTGGGAAGACTCATTCAGAATATTTCAGTTTCTATGCAGGTTGTGGTCATTTATTATATTTTTTATTCCACCACTTGTTCCTGTTTCGCCCCCTTGGCAGATGCAGGTGGGGAGGCTGGTTTCAGCTTGGGGTGGTTACAAACTCCCAACATACGCCATGCAGTTGCTGCACAGGGTCCCTGCCATTTGGATGGCTCCACTGGTGGGTTCCCTGGCCCTCTTGATAACTAGTACTCCAGTCAAATGGCTAGATTAATGCTGCTCAGAGGCTGTTAACTTAAGTCCTTGACATGTTTCATTTACAATTATGTGGATTATTTATTTTAGAATCTTTTCTTTTAAAGGGCCAAATAGGCCTACAGATAAATGAGCTGCTGGACTGTGTAGAAAATAGTGTCCAAATGTTGCCAAATATGACTTCGTTAGGGGGATATCAAGCTGCTGTTTATAAATCTGAATGTCTTAAAAAGCATTCTTGCCTGCTCTTTCTGTTGTAGGTGGTGTCTTAGCAAGTCCTGAGTTTTTCCAATGAACCCGATTTTAATATATGGTATTTTTGTATGCCAATCTGGTGTCTTGTCCTTTGTATATGTGGTAATGTTGATTTTATGACTACTGTTAAAACACATTTGCTATGATTAAAATTCATAAAACGATTTCAAATAGACTTGTGTTGGTTTTTCCCCCCCACACACACCTCATAAAGAGAAAAAAATTGGCTGGAATTTTCATCATCAGAGACTCTAAGAATTTTAATAGACTTGGGTCATAAAGCAACAAGCTGCTTCTGAGCCAAGGATTTTAAGTGGAGTTGACCTTCAAGTGGCTCCTCTGAGAAGCCAAAGAACGCATTTGTAATGGGTAAGTCCAAGTGTGCTTTTGCAATTTGGGTTTTTGTGGCTTCTGGTGGCCCCAACTTTAACCTCTACCATTTAGAAATGATGCTGTGTGGACCATCTCTAAGTACCTTAGAGGAAATTAGAGGTCCAAAGGTTATTGGTATGAGAGGAGTGATATGCCAATGGTTTGAATTACTATCTTCTCCTAGAAAAATGATGCTGCCAAATAGTCAGCATTTTCACACAGGTGTCGTCAGTTTCTCAGGTCCCTGTGTAGTCATTAGTACCATGACCCCGGCCTCCTGGCTCTGCGTCTGGAAAAGAATCTTTTAACAAATGTTTTTATCAGCGGAACAGAGGGCGTTGGGGCAGCCTTTTTGGATAAAAGCATTCTGCCTTTCAGTAACTTGGGATCACATCAGCGAATTGCATTTCAGTGGAACAGGTGCCCTAATCCTAATTAAGGGGTTAGCAATGATTGGATATGCATGAACACTAGTGTTAGTGTGCTGGGGCTCTCTCTGGGAAGTTATAAAAATGATCCCTATAGTTTTAAACATGAGAGGTTACTGTGCTTCAATACTCATTTCTTGTACCAAAAAAGCAGGCCTTTTTTAGGGAGTCCAGATTTTTGAAAGTGTGAAATTTATTTAGTATATTTTAGGATTTCTGGTGTGGATTTCCCTGATCTCAAATAGAGGGTGTGTGTGTGTGTGTGTGTGTGTGTGTGTGTGTGTGTGTGTGTGCATGCTGGGGGGCCAGGGAGGGATTCCTTACTGTTAGAGCAGAGCTTTTCTGTCAGCTAGAGGAAGAGTTGACTCGAAGAAGGCATTTAAGGCGTTTAAAAGGTCTTAGCTCCTCCAGGAGCTTAGCCGGGACTGGATCCCATGTATAGTCTGATCTCGAGGCTTCTCTGTAGACTTAATGGGGGCCAGGGCGAAGGAGAAGGAAATCACGGGAGAGCCCTACACGCCAGTCTTGCCTGGGGATAACCCACGTTGGCAACCTCTTCAGATGACACTGTTTGGATGGCACAGGTGGTCTGCTTGTGGTGCAGGGCTGGAAGGAGAGGATGAGCCTGTGTCAGCTCCAAGCTCTTTGCCGTTCTGACCCCTCCCTGCAAAGGGGGGGCTGAATGTGAGTAGTTGAAAGTCCCATGGGGGTGGTGCAGGATGCACACATAGTGAGTGGAGCCAGGCCCGGTGTCCACTGCACCCCACCCTCACCCTCAATTCTTACATACATACCCCTCCAAATACCAGCCAAATTTCCTGAGATGAAAGCCTGTCTATCTGCCAGTGCGTTGTCTTTCTTAATGCTTTTGTTTCCAGTGATAATTCTGGGAAGAGAAACCCATGTCCAGTGTCCACCATGTAGCTAGCACCAGGCTGGGGTAAACGGTGGCCCGGGAGGGGGTGGGGGGAAGGAACTGATCCAAGAATTAGACTGAGTCTCTGCTTTTCTTTATATAAGTTTGAAAACTTTTGCACAATTTTACTTGACCCAGAAAGTGATACAGCTGTGATTGGGTTCGGTCTCTCTCATTCCCCAAACCTACTGCTCCCTGCATTTCCATCTCTCTTCACACTATTACACTTGATAAATGATTGTTTTTATTTTTTTAAATTTATTTATTTATTTAGTTATTTTTGGCCGTGTTGGGTCTTTGTTGCTGCGCGTGGGCTTTCTCTAGCTGTGGCGAGCGGCGGCTACACTTCGTTGCGGTGCACAGGCTTCTCATTGCGGTGGCTTCTCTTGTTGTGGAGCACGGGCTCTAGGCGTGTGGGCTCAGTAGTTGTGGCTCGGGGCTGTACAGCACAGGTTCGGTAGTTGTGGCGCACGGGCTTAGTTGCTCCGTGGCATGTGGAATCTTCCCGGACCAGGGCTCGAACCCGTGTCCCCTGCATTGGCGGGCGGATTCTTAACCACTGTGCCACCAGGGAAGTCCCAATGTTTGTTTGTTTGTTTGTTTTGCGGTACGCGGGCCTCTCACTGTTGCGGCCTCTCCCGTTGCGGAGCACAGGCTCCGGACGCGCAGGCTCAGCGGCCATGGCTCACGGGACTAGCCGCTCCGCGGCATGTGGGATCTTCCCAGACCGGGGCACGAACCCGTGTCCCCTGCATCGGCAGGCGGCCTCTCAACCACTGCGCCACCAGGGAAGCCCCCCAATGTTTGTTTTTATTATCATTATTATTCACAGGAGTAAATGGATGTATAGATGTACGTGTGTACATGCATGCCTGTGTGTGTGTACACGCATGCCTCTGTGTGTGTACACACATATATATGAATATTTCATAGACTCTTGGTATAGTTTTTTTTTAAGGTTGAAAGAGTGAAGATCTTTCGAGAAAGATCAGAGTAGAGAAAAGTACTCAGATTTGGCTACAAAGAAAGGCTGGTCTGGGTAGAATCATGAGAGAAATTAGGGAGAAGGAAGCTCCCTGCAATCCATCGTTCCTTTGCTCAGAGTTCCCACTGACTGATTGCCACGCACTGGGGCTGCTGAGACAAACAAGATGGAAACGGGCCCTGCCGTCATGAGCCTCACAACCTTGTAGCAAAGACAGGCATTAATAAATAACGTTCATGTCCAGTGCAAATGTACATGCTGTAACAGGGAAGCAGGTGGGCTGACCTGGTAGGTTCATGGTAGGGGATGTAGTCAGAAAAGACTTTCTGGAGGAATTGTCTTCTAAGATAAGATCTGAAGGATAAATTGGGGTCAGTGAGGACCATTTGTGGAAACAATTTCAAGAAGGGACAAAGGAGGTATGAGGGTTTTTATGGAGACAGAGTTGGCTTTTCCTGTTAGGCCCCCTGCCATTCATGCATTGCCTTGTGTCGTGTTACACTGTGATTGATGATATTTCAGTATGACTCCCCAGTCCCCAAGAACGTCCACAAAGGAACATTTGACAAAAGCACAGCTATGGGGTCCATTTCACTGGTAGATATTTTCATCTGTCATCACCGTGTGGAACGGGCTCCACAGTGGACATTTCACCTCCTTGTGCCCACATAACACGCAGTTATTTTCTTCTGCCTTCGCCATGTGCAGAAGAAGAGGACATGGAATCTTATGTCCCAATACTTATTCGTTTCAGAATCAAACAGATTCAGAGCCCGATATTGCTGACAACCTGTCTAAAGTAAGTGTTGAGAAAAGCATTTCCCAAGTTATATTTTGAGAGATTAGTAGGTGTTATATGAAAAATGTTTTATGATTTGAATAAACTGGGAAAATACTGGGTTAAGCAGGGTTTTTTTTTTTGTTTTTTTTTTTTTTGCGGTACGCGGGCCTCTCACTGTTGTGGCCTCTCCCATTGCGGAGCACAGGCTCTGGACGCGCAGGCTCAGCGGCCATGGCTCACGGGCCCAGCCGCTCCGCAGCATGTGGGATCTTCCCAGACCGGGGCACGAACCCACGTCCCCTGCATTGGCAGGCGGACTCTCAACCACTTCGCCACCAGGGAAACCCCAGCAGGGTTTTTTTTAACTGTAGAACTTTTCAGAGACTTTAACATGTGTATTAGTTCTCTAGAGAAACAGAACTAGTAGAGTGTATGTGTGTGTGTGTGTGTGTGTGTGTAGTGTGTGTGTGTGTGTGTGTGTGTGTGTGTGTGTGTGTGTATTCTCTCTCTCGATATAGACCCTTGAACAACACAGGGGTTAGGGGCACTGACTCCCCACTCGGTTAAAAATCTGTCTATAACTTTACAGTTGGCCCTCCATATCTGCAGTTTTCCCATCTGTGGGTTTAACCACCCTGGATCACCGGATCACGTAGTACCGTAGTACACATTTATTGAAAAAAATCTGTGTATAAGTCGAAACACTTGCAGTTCAAACATATGTGTATTATCTACATGAGATCTCTCTCTCTCTGTATACATATACACACACATAGAGAGAGTGTATATATACATATATCTATGCATATAGATTATATATACAGATATATCATACATAGTATATACACATATCTGCAAGTATGTATGTACCATCTAGAGAGAGATTTATTTTAAGGAATTGTAGAGGCTATGGCAAGTCCCTAATCTTCAGAGCAGGCTGCAGACCCAGGGAAGAGTTGATGGCGGCAGCTTGAGTCCAAAGGCTGCCTTCTGGCAGGATTCCCTCTTCCTCAGGGGTGGTCAGTCTTTTTTCTCTTAAGATCATCAACTGATTGAATGGGCCCACCCACATTACAGAGCACAGTCTGCTTTACTCAAAGTTTACTGATTTAACTGTAATGTCATATAAAAAATACTTTCGCAGCAGCATCCAGACCAATGTTTGATCAGATACTTGGCTGTTGTGACCTACCCTAGTTGGCACATGAAATTAACTATCATAGTATGCTCAAGAGCCTTGCAAATCTGTCAAAGGGGAACGTAATGCACATCGCTTTTCCCCAACTTATCTGAGTAAAAAACTCATTGTTTGCAGAATACCTATTAACATCTGGTAGAACACAGTTTGGGGAATATTGACCTTGAAAATGATTCACAATTATGACTCACCCCACATCATCCAAATCTGGCCTCTAAAATGCATTAAGTGCTTATTATTATGTAATAAAATTAAACCATTAGCTCACGTTTGTTTTTTTTATTTTAAATCAATGTCACGCAAATGTAAAAATAACCCAGTACCTGTATTAGAGTTACCTTGATGGTATATTGTGAGCAGTTTGCATGCTAAAATTCCATGTACTGCCCACATTACCAACGAAATGTTCTCACATTAGCAAATCACGGGGGGTGGGGGGGGAGTATGTATACATCTGCTGTAGTAATAAGGGTATGGATGATTC